CCTCAACAGAAACAGCTGATCAGACGTGTGTTAAATGTTTCCTGTCAGAATGTCTTCAGGTCACCGTGTTTCCATAAATCCATTTAGTTCCATAAAGACAAAAAAAACACCCAAATCAAGGCGACAACTTTTTTCTCCCAATTGTGTAGTGAAATACTTCATAATGAGCATGCAATTATTCAAATCAGGACCCAGTTTACAAGATAAATAAAAACCAGATTCAGACACATCTTAAAGTCAAATCAGGTTTATCATCTTAAAGTCAAATCAGGTTTTGAATGTGTTTTACAATAAATACAATAAAAACACTCAAACCAAAAACCTGACAGAACTCCACTCATAATGATTTAAACTGAACAATGGAAACTCAAACAGAAACCAAAATAAATCAGACTAAACCACTCGTTAAGACTAAACCAAAGAAAAACCAGCTGGTACCTTTCTGTGTCGACTCTTTAGGTCCAAGACCACCATCCTGAGACAGACTGAGAGAGAGAGAGACGGACCTCTGAGTTTACCTCACTCTACCTGTGTGACTCTACCTGTGTGACTCTACCTGTCTGACTCTACCTGTCTTGAGTCTAGTGTATCACCCATTCACCACCAGGATTAACCTCCCGTCTCCTGTCAGCCTCATTTCAGTTTGTGTAGTTTTCTTTCATCAGAATCACGTCTTCAGTTTTACTCAAAACTCTTGAATCAGTTCAACACAAACATTGAGAGGTGAGACTGGTTTGAATGTAGTTAAAGAGTGAGACCTCGTGAGGGGTTCGGTCTGGCAGCAGGTGTTGGAGGTGAGACTGTGTTCTGATCGGGTCTTTGGTGACGTGAACGATCGGCCCTCTGGAGCTCCGCTTCACCAGGTGACGCCTCACTGTCGGAACGTCGTCCAATCGGTGACCTGAGTGTCAGCGGGGGCATGAGGTTAAATCCTGACCCACACACACATGTTTACATGACTTGTGAGGACATTACATTGACTTACATTCATTTCCTGGAGACTTACTATAACCCTGACCCCGAACTTTAAACCAGGTCTTCACCCTAAGATGTGATAATTTACGTTATGGGGACATTTTGTCCCCATAGAGAAGATGAGGCCCCGCAATGTGACACACACATACACACATCCCTGTACTTCTGTCTTTGTGAGGACCATTACCTTAACGTAGACCTTCACAACTAAATACTTGACCCTGAACCTTAAAACCAAGTCTGAACCCTCAAACTGGCCTTTGAAGAAGTGAAGACCCTCCAAAATTTCCTCACACACACGCTGTGGTCTCATGGGAACTTTCTGCGGTTTAACAGAGTTTCATGCTCGATTGAACTTCAATGAAGAATCTGTAAGAAGAGACGCGAATTCTGATTTATCCAATAAGCTAAAAACACACATACACACACCTACACACACACACACACACACACTCACTGTAATCTGCAGGTGAGTTTCAGGTTTCTGTAAAAATGAGATTTTCTCTCAAACACGACTTTTTTTCACATACTTTCTTGTTTGTTTTCCTGGAACTAATCGGCGAATCACATTCCAGCAGTGAGAGTCAGCTGACCGGCGCCCTCTACCTGTCTCCCTCTACATGTCTCCCTCTACCTGTCTCCCTCTACCTGTCTCACTCTTTCATATGTTCTGAATCAGGACTTTTACTTGTAACAGATTATTTTATCACAGCGGTTGAATTTAAGTCCATTTACTGAGGTTTAGTTGAACAAACTCATTTTTTTGAGTTGGGACTACGTTGAACCTCGTAGTAACTTTTAGAAGACGTCTTCCTGTCTTCTACTTTCTGTGTCTAAAGTTTTTCTTCACTATTTGTTATTGTTTAAAAGCAGCTCTGTGTTTATTAAGTTTAACTTTAAGAGTTAAAAGTACTCACTGAGATCCTCCTTCTGTCACACAACACACACGAGAGGAGAAATACGGGATTCATGTTGATCCGAGAGACCGACAGAGTCCTTTAAACCAGGACCAGGACCAGGACCAGAACCACACTCACACAGAAACAATAGATAGAGGCCGTGGGCTCAGCGTGTAGGAGGACCGCGTTGTGTTCAGGTCACATGATAAAGACCAAGAAGTGACAGAAAGCTCTTTCATGTTGGGAAACCTTCAGTGTGTCTTCAAGTCAGAGTGCCCCAGTGCATGCTGGGAGAGAGTCTGCAAACTGTACTTACAATGACGACGCGAACCTGCTGATCTTAGTTTAGCACGTTAGCATGCTTACATTAGCTAATTATCAGTAAACAATCTGATCATTAACACACACATTAACACGTTGACCTGAAGGTGGGGCCAGAAGAAACTAGAGGATCCAGGAAGTTGTTACAGGTCTCTGGTTTATTATTATTATCATTATAATTATTATTATTATTATTATTATTATATTAATTACATTATATATTATATTATAATTATAAAGGGGAGACTGTAGCTAAGTGGAGAGTAGGGCCGTCCTTAATCAGAGGATCGGCGGTTCGATCCCCGGCTCCGGCTCCGCTAGTCGCATGTCGATGTGTCCTTGAACAAGACACTTAACCACAAAACTGGTCCCGTAGCTGAGCCTACGGTGTGTTAATGTGATAGAATCTGATTGTAAGTCGCTTTGGATAAAAGTGTCTGCTAAATGACTGTAATGTAATGTAATAATTATAATTATATAATTATATTATAATTATATATTAATATATTATAATATAAATATAATAATTATATTATTATTATTATTATTACATTATTAGAAGAATGAAATGTTGGGACTGTGATATGTTATAATTATAAGTTTTGTCTTGAAGCTGTTTAGAATGTGAAGTCAACTTTTATATAAAAAGTAAATATATATATATAATATATATATATATATATTTTATATATAATATATATATATATATATTCACTGACTCTTGATGCCGTCCAGGTCAACACTCATCAGCGTTTCTTCCTCGTCACCGTCGTCTCTCGTCATGATGCCACCGGGTGAGAGACTTTTGGTCGGAGCATCACTGAGAAGGGGAGGAGTTAGACGTCAGGTGGATTCAAAAGAGGAAGTCCCATATTTACCTTTCAGGTGTGTGTGTGTGTGACTCACCTTGGCCCCTCCTCTCCACTCTGACTGTAGGACTCCTCCTCTTCCTCCTGGTCTTCTTCTATGGTGGCTGCGGCGTTAGGGGCGGAGCCTCTTCTCCCCTCCCTCCTCCCCTCATTGGTCCTCTTCCTCCTGCTGTCAGCGGGCAGTTTAGAGAGAGTCTGATGGACGTGGAGGGAGAAGTGACGGTGATCTGCAGCAGGAGGATTTCATTAGGACCGAGGACCCTGAACGTCCCTCAAGACCCCCTGAGACCACCTCAGAGACCCCCTAAAACCACCTCACGGACCCTCTGAAACCACCTCACAGACCCCCTAAAACCACCTCATCGACCCCCTGAAACCACCTCACAGACCCCCTGAAACCACCTCACAGACCCCCTAAAACCACCTCATAGACCCACCACTAGAACCCAGAACCTTCACAGGCTACATGCTGGTTCCCTACCCTCAAAGTCCTGCTCATCGTAGACTCTACTTTTCTCCGGTGGGCTGCGAGCTGCAGGACCCAGAATCTGCTGAAAACCCTGAACATCAAAGACCTTGTTCAGGTCCTCCTCTTCTTCATCGATGTGGCCCCGTGGAGGAGGAACAGGAGCCGGAGACTGGAGAAGAGAGGAGGAGATACAGTCCCTGAATGCCC